TAAATCCAAAGTACAATTTAACTACTAAATTTAAAGTATCATTTAACACAATTTCGGGCTATTGGAAATTTTAATACGTAACACTTGTCATATCGACTCTTCCTCCATAGAAGGCATCTCGTATATCCAGGTGGGAAACTACTATGTTATCTTTAAGAAAATCGATGAAGTCTCTGAATCATTAGTTTCATCTTCTTAAATTCATGTTTTCATATTGATATGATCTTGTACTCTTGATTTTCGAGTTGTTGTCTCTCTAAAGTACCCTTTCTAACAAACCACACGGGTCTGTTGAGAACTACACTCTGTGCATCACAATCCTAACATGATTTACAGCTACAGTAGTAGCACCCGTAAAATTCGTACTGATTCAGGATTTGTTTCTTACCACTGTTAAATGCGTGTTGGTTCATAATTCCCTCAAATTTCTGTATGCAATCTAACCACTGAAAACTTACTTGGCCATAGTTGTTGGATATAAAGTATCTGTGGTTAGGTACGAGGTCTATTGATTGTGGTTATGTAAATTTGCTTCTGTATATAAATATGTGTCAGGAGATAAGAAACTGACATCCGGTATGGATCCTCGATACTTCTGACTTGATATTATGTTAAACAGGTGTAGAAAGTATTATTTTTGTAATTACTTTAAACCATAAGTTTTAGGGAACAATGATAACACTAGAGGGATGAAATTATAACTGTCAATAATTATAATTTTCAGACTTTTGATGGTCAAAACCATAATTATTCCACTATTTTTGTGATAAAGTCAGGCTGTATCCCTAAACGAATAAGATAAGTTAAGAAAAGTGCATGTCATATCTTTTCCTGTTGTTAGTTATAGCAGTGTAATTCTTATGATCCTTGGGTAAATGATAATTTAGAAAATTCTAACTTTAAAAATGGTTTCCTTTCCATTAAAATTGTGGACTACGCAGTAATTCACCTCGTGAGTTTCGGTTTCAGAGGCAAAAAGTAAATATTTCTGAGATGAATCGTTGATGTCTTTGGTCTGGAGAAAACGTAAATGATTAAACAATAAAACAAATTTTTGACATCTTACGCATCTTATTTTACCACATTGATGAAACTCAGGCTTTTGTTGTTGTGTTTTCTGTCAGTAATTACAAAACCTTTTTTTTTACATTCGTAAAATGTTTTTCTTGAAGATAGTGTTTGTTTTCCATTCTTTGTTTGTATCTGTTGTAACATCCTGCTTATTTACAAAACCTGTTACAATCAGCACAAGCTATGGGTTGACCTTTCGAAAAAACGTTACAATAGCTAATAATATGATGTTTATTTAAATGGCCAAATCCGTTGTCACAATCTAAACAGTAAAAACTTACCCCGAGAAAATCCTTCATTGATGTGATAACATCAAAATGATTATCATGATACCACAAGAAAATATTTTCAGGACATGAAGGACCTTTACATATCACACAGTTGATATTGTCTGAAGAAGGTATATGTACTTAAACATTTATATGACGTTCACATTTTGAAATTTCTATTCTGCAAGTCTTTAGCCATATGTATAGGTACCAGTCTTCGTTGGTCTCTAATACTATTATATTTTGGATCTTTTTTTGAGTGATGCTAAAGCTACTATTTTAGCCTTAGCACAGCAAAGGTCGTCGCTATTGTTTATAAAAATAATTAATATTTTCTTACATCGATCACTGTTAGTATTTGATAACTTTTACGTCTACTGCTACCAATAGGCTTGTCTAATGGTGGGTTCTTTTTACCATGATTGACTTTTTCGATGTTTTTTTTTAAGATCATATCTGATGAAAAAACATTTTTATTCTGTAAGCATGTTCTGATTGGTTTATCTTGATGATTGGATTCAATACATTTCCCGACTTTATCTTTATTGGTTAAATGGGTCTGGTCCAATCATGATGTTAGAAAAATACGTAGGTTCAAAAGTCTTGATAGGAATGAATAAAAAACTATAACCTTATAATTAAATTATAACTATTGTATCTTGATTATATGTAATCAATATTGAAATAGTTCTGTAGCACCACTTGTTCTATTTAGTTCAGGAATATATTTAAAAACATACAATAAATAAAATAATATTTACAGCACATGAGTTGTCTATACTTGTTGCTAGTAGAACTATAAGATACCATAATTGCACGAATGTTGAATTCAAAGTTATTTTAGACTGATATGATACAGTTTATATAAGGATGAGTGACCCAGATTTGACTGCTTGTTGTATATTACGTAATAGGGTTGGTCAACTCGGGACTGATCTTTGATCAATAGTCATATGACTGTCAATTACCTCAACTTAAGAATCAACCTGTTTTATTGTCTTGCATTAATAGAAAACAATATCTGTTAGATTTCATCTGATATATAGCAAAAAGTAATTTGTACAATTTGTATAATTTTTAGTGAATAGATAATAAATTTAACTGTAACATTTTTTTTTCAAAATCTATTTGAGGAAATATCTGTTTCAAAATGTGAACTAGTTTTTTTTTCTGATCGTACAAACTGAAATCTTACATGTTTTGTTTGCACTGAATCCTTTATTAATTTATTTATTTATTGGCATGTCTTTAGTACGATGTAAATGTCTCGTGATAAATTAAGTGTTTGTTTTTCACATATTGTTATACAAATAAAGAATATATATTTTAACTGAAATAGTAATATGAACTATAATGTAAAAAAGTCGTATCGAAGCTAATCCAGTATTTTATTATTTAAGATATTTACGTAAACAGTATATTATTGTATCTTGAATTCTTCTTAATAAATATTTCAGTACAGGTGATACTTGGCAAGTCTGTGATTTTACATCGTTGTTGCAAAATATATTCTGTAATGATAAACAGTAGTTATGTTGGATTTATACAATGACTTCATGTTTCTTTTCTTGTAGACCATATCTTTTATTGTGAGAAACAACAAAAGTGAGATATTTGTCAAGAACGTTTATGTTGATAACAACAACTATTTACATAATGTTTATTTGCTGTTGAACTTGTCGAAATAAACAAGCGGTTATAAAATAGGTTCATTTGTGATATTGATTACCTATTAATTTTAAATGTTAAAGTATAATAAAATTTTTGGTTTATAATATGGTGTATAATATGACAAGTTATTCCCTAAATTTAAACAATAAACTCTTCTATTTCTGTTTCCTTTACCTCTTATTTATAACTACATTTTAACATCATATGATAATTGGGTGGGGTTTGACCCCATGGTATAATAATGGTTTTTGTAACTGACGATCCAAGTTTGAATTATTGCGATAATACAAAATATTCCCCTTACTTTAAGCTGCGGGTGTGTTATAAGAGTTACAGTCACTTGACGTGTATGGTAGATGGTAAGGGTTCTGCTGATTGGCTATCTTCCTTCTGGTCAATAGTTCAAAAGTAGGGATGACAGTAAATAGCCTTACTTAGCTTTGCCATATTGAAAAAATAAATAAAGGTACTAATGCAAATATATAATAATTCTAGCGTTTATTTGAATTTGTGATATGTGACCTTGAGTGTGTAATAAAAACTCGTAAGCTTTCCATTACACTTCTTGTACAGCATCTTCATTTAGTCTCTTACACCCTGAACCCATTCTTAGCCGTTCAACAATAACATACGGTAAATCTACAGGTTTATTATTTGAGTTACGTCACATTTTGAAATGTGAATGATAGTGTGATTAATTCTTAACAATTCAGTATAGAATATCCTGCTTGCGAAATAAATTTTGGCATCAACATTATTGATGCGTGTTCTCCGGTCATTTCAAAAATGAATATTGGGCTTTGCCTGCGTGCGCAGCTTTTCAAACAGGAGACAGATGAACGTTTAGACAGACACCACGGTTCGTAATATATATATATAAGATTTGGAATCTTTTAGTACCTCTCTATGTTAATATTCATATACAGGAAAAACACAATATCATTGCTATTCTAGCAGTTCTGTTAATAGCATCACCTCTGCCAAGATAAAGTCCTACATTATAATCACTAAGCAAACTTTGATTTAATTATTTACTTAAATGAATGTACATTGTGTATAATGTCGTGTACCTTTTCAGTTTCGTGTCCACGAGGAAAAGTCTTAATCAATTATATACCTTCTTTGTTGTATAAATGTTGGCTGTCCTTTGAAGATAATTCCTTAATTCACATTTATTAATTAAATGTTTGGACCATCCGTGCAGATAATAATGTGTTTGAAATGATTAGCGTAGATATAATTGTTTGGATGAATAAATTGTGATAATAGTTTTAATTAAGTACATATATATATAGATGAATATGTGTATTTGGTTAACTGTGTTAAATCTGGTTGGATGGTTCAAAGTGATGTCTAGTTTGCTGTATGAATCAAGGTAGTATAATTCTGCGAGTTATCAATACCATAAGTCTCATTTGGCCAAATATGATGGTTGCAAACATTTTCGGGTATGAAATATGCCTAATTTTGCCGAAGTTGTAACGTTTGCCAAGCCTTAAACAGAGATCTAAATCTGTTGTAATATTGAAAAACAACAAAAAAATAACACTTTTATGAATCTTTGACTGATGTGTCAGGTCACAAGCTTTTAGAGCTTGAATTATATACCCTATTTATTTACTTTATTATGTGACCAATAAACTTTTATTTATGTGGATATGAATTAGAAAAAGTTAGTTGTTCGTAGTGATCTACACATGGTGTACAATAACGTTTTTTTGGCAAAGAAAAGGGGAGGGGACAAATGTGCTAGCTTTGACAAATTGATCTTCTACTCATCTGTCTTAATGAGAAGTGAACATTTTCATCGTTTGTGATGATCTGAACTGAATATTAAATGATACAATGCACAATGCATGTTTCAAATTTTAGTTATACGTGGAGAAAAAACTTGATGATGGCTAACGGAAATGAGTAAGAGAACTGCTAACATGAAACCTTTAGTTCTCGGAGGATTCATCACTGCGTTATTATCGTGTGGAGTATTTTCATTCCAGGTTACAATAAAATGTTCTGTTAGTGGATCGCGTTTGTTTAAAGTTTTACTTTTTCTTCTTATTCAAGCATGTATTTTCCCAACCTTTAACAATTTTTAAAAACAACGTGTCAAATATATTGTATATATATATATATATATATTATTCCTCTGAATATATATATATATATATATGTATATATATATATATCTAATAAGTGTGGAAAAGCGTTCTCTATTAATCCATGGTGTAATATATAGTTGATTGTACCCACATTTCCTTTTAATAAAAGCCATTAGGTCATTAGGTTTCTAAAGTTATGCTGATTTATCTTTGAGAATTCTCAGATAGGTTCAGAAACTTGAAACTTAAAAACATCAGACCAACGACGGTGATTTAGTATAGAAGAAAAAAACCCAGTTAAGATAAAAAAATATTATTAAAGAAGAAGAAACCAAAGTGGCATGTATGTGTTCATGTACCATAACACTATGTTACATAGGTTCTCGTCTGTCTTAAAAACCTTTGCGAGCTAATCAACAAAACCAAAACAATTGAACCACCGACTTATCCGGTTGACAGGTTCCTTCCTTCTTAACGGGTTCTTGGACGATACTTTACTTGTTTTGTGTTCGCGATCCATCACCTTCTATACAGAGCACAGGTCTAGCTACACTGGCAAGCTCAGTGTCAGAAGGTCTGTGCTGGAAAGGAAACCTTCGTTTGTTTCCGACAACTTTCCAACTGAAGGCCGGCACCAACTGGTTGTCAGCATATGACAGATGAGGTACTAACTGCGTCCCGCTGAGTCTTAGAGCGTGATTAATTTTTTTGTTTGTTTTGTTTTAAAACTTCCGCTAGCAAACTGTATACATTTCAAAGAAATATTACACAGGAAACTATGTATTGTATTGTTTTTCAAAAAAAAAGAAAAAGAAAAAAAAGCTACTGTTGCAGACTTGTTGGTACACGTTCACATGTGTTGGATATGTAAGCTAACTCCAAAAGTGAACGCTTATTAACTCTTTGATTATCAGCATGGTTACATTATCTTCGTATAGTTTTTGCGTTAATTCACATTTACCTGCATAATTTACCTTTTGTATAATTTTTTCACAACATCAGTTTTGGAAAAACAATTCAAAAATGTTTTGTTAAAGCCACCTGATGTTACGGGTAAATCATATACACTGTCATATTTTCTCCTGTTAAACGCAAGATATTTTAGGCTGTTCAAAGAAAAATAAATTGTTCAAGCTAGCTAAAAGTAGCCACTGGTTGATCGTTTTCTTTAATTATAGGTTCTAATACAAGGTCACTGGCTGTTCTTGGTTGCCCACCCAAAATGATGTCAGATAATTGCTATGCAGGTGTTTTCAGTAAAGGTGTTGTTAACTCTCTACAAATATTATCAAAATAATTTGCAGATTGATAGTGTAGCCATAGGGACTTAAACATGAAAATCAACCATCTCTGAATTTTTTCAAATGAGTCGTAACACATGTTTGGTAAATAGCTTGAGTGACATTATTTTCACTTTTCCTTCTTATAGTTAAATAGTGTTTCATTTCCTTTAGCACTATTAAAGGGATCCTAAAAAATATAAGTCCTTTGGATGCTGAAGTGCTGGGATAACTAATTGTGTTTTAGAAGAGACTTTGGAATTGAAGTGGAATTTTCATCCTCAACTTTGGTAAAGCACAAAGAAATAACACACAATATAGTGCGAAAAAAGACTAAATGGCCAGGTCAGATACTTTAAGGTTACAATGGAACATTTTCAAATTTTGAGTTACTGACTATAGGAAGGACATCCAACCAGCAGCACATTCTCTATAATGGTTTTGTCCGGCCCTTGAACTGAATAACAGAATAAAGTGTTACTTGACAACTGCTGAAAATACAGAGAATGTTCAGGAACATCAAGTCTAACCTCAAACATTTCGATTCGCAGCCTGGCATTATAACCATTAGGCCAAGCTTAGCCTGTTAAATTTTATCAAATCTTGTAAAATAATAATTTGCATGAAACCTTATTGCCGTGTAATAAAAGTTCAATACAATAAAATATATTTTACAACAATTTTACATGCTAAGTAATAAGTATATGTTGGTAGTATAAAAACACGGCCAATGATCATATGAATGTGCAAACCATATAAAATTGAAATCCACTAAACTATATTTTAGGTCAGTCAACTAAATGATGTTATACACCTGTAATATCACGAGCAAATCAATTAAGAATTCTATTAAATGAAAATACGATTTTCACCGTACTTCTAACAATAGAAAGTGCTTTCAGTTAATATCGTCCCTCACTGATTCAGAAATAACCTTCAGAGCTTATAACGCTAAATTTTGAAATTTGGGGCTCGATCCCAGCGGAGAACATAGAGAGGAATAGTCCACCATACAGTTTGCGTTCAGAAAAACATTTATTCATTCAACTTAATATTTTATAGAATATTAAAATATGTAGCTTGTTTATTGAAGCCCCGTGTTGGGAATGTATGAAACACTACAAATGTGTCGTGTGATTTGAATGCTGGTGCAGTTCATTCTACGTTTCGAGTTTACACGCTAAAATGTGATTATATATTTTATATATAAAATGCAGAATGAAAATGTTTTTCTGAAGAGATCCATCCTGGAGATAATATAAGCACATATTGTGCCCATTGTACATAATTTATTGCATTTTATGGCCCAATATAGAATGTAAAATTACCTAATAAATGATTTAGTTTTGATCTTGTCGATAGGTTAGTTTCTTAAAAAGAATTACTGAGCGTCTTTCATAGTAAGTAAATATTAATACTATTAATATCAGTAATATATATTAACATGTTAAAACAAATAATTTTAAATGTATATATATATATTCAAACATGTTTGTTTGACTTATGATAGTTTATGTAAAATACCAAGTTATGTTCCTGTTTGATAATGTAATCCGTTTCTAGTAATGTTTCAAGATAGAACGAACAACACAAAATGCAAGTATAATAGAAATCAATCAATGGATCAAACATACCAGTTTAGATGGTGACAGAATAGTAAAAATAGTGTTTGGACTCAACTCATAAAGAGAGGTTATGCGGGTAAAATTCTGCTATTTTCATTGGCGTACGAAATGTGATGCAAAATTTATGTTAATTAACTAAATATAATTTTCCTCTGAACTTAAAACCTTTGTAAGGGTGACGTTTCTTTCCGAATTGCTGTTGTCGAAATTATTTGTCACCTATCCTAGAAATTTAACCACAATAAGAAATTTAGGAACTGGTTCGGTGTTGATAAATATTCTGTAATTTGCATAATACTAAGTTTACTACCATACTGTGTTTCAAACAACTACCAGAGAAAAGAACAAACCATTATAAGTGGGAGAATGTCATTCCAACTTTAATGGTCTGAAAATACTTTTTTATACACTTTAACACGAAGCTATCAAACACAACGATGCATTAGCCTCAATGCACTTACTTTACAAAAGCACATACAATGATCTGGATAATGTTCTAAACTCCAGCGATAAGGAATAACGAGAATGCTTCTCATTAAAACTATCATTATCTTATTTTTCGCTTCACATACTACCTATGATACGTTGAACGGTTTGTTCTAATGTGTGCTAACTTGAAACATTCGAAAGATTAGAAACAAAACGTAAGCTGTATAATTAAGTTGAAAACGCTGCTTTAATTCACATAAAATAAACAAAAGGAAAAGTACATCAAAGAAAAAGTTTTTATCGCTTGATTTGTTTTTAGGTGAAGATGTGGTTATTGTAGGTGCATTTCTGTTCTGTGATCTAGCTGTTCACACAAATTATTTTGCATTTCCTTGATTGGGGGCTTTATAATGTTTGTGACGATAGGCAACGATTACCTATTTGGCATAAAGCACGTATAAAACCCAATTTTCTCCATTTTGTTATATTGTTTCCAGATAAACATTTCGAAGGTTAACTGCATGTGAAGTCCTAAGGTTTTTATAGATAACACAATCCATGCTTGGCAATATGCCAGATTGACTATATGCTTTAAACTTTAGCTTACCAAGAGTATTATAAATAATGAAAAATGTGGCCAAGTAGCAGTACAGCATAAAAATTAAATCAATATTAAATATATGTCACAGATGAGTATCTGTGTTATCCACAATACTTGTAAGCGAGTTGATTAGCAAAAAAAGTGCATTGAGACAATAAATAATTTGCACAAATTCTGCAAGATATACTGCTTGCTTGCATAGATAATTAATATGGGTACTCCAACTACTTTAATAATATTAGATGATTTGATATCCGGTTAATTTTTTTTTAAATATACCATGGTACTTAACAATGTTTTACTTAATAAAGTTGTTGATTAAATTTCATTACTCTAAGAAACAACATCAGCACATATAAATTTGCAAAAAAAATATGCATAAGGCTGAATATGTAATTTTGGGCTACTATTTATAACAAACTGATGTATCTGTCTTTTGTCCAGGTCAAGAACTTAAAAAAAATGTCCTTAATGTCCTTCCACAGTGTTTCACGTGATTAATTAATCAACAGTCATTGGTCGTAGAAGTGTCTTACGAGCCGAAGTTGATAGGTCACAGGTCAAAGTAGGAAGTGGATACAACTCAAGGAACGGCTCTTCATTTCAGCCTTATGGTGGCTATTGTTTCATTACATTCCTCCATAGAGATTCCTAGCGCATTTTATGAAATATATAAGACGTTTGTGTACCCTAAGCATATATAGTTTTCTAGAAAATTTAATTTTTTTTGTGTGCAAAGACAAAAACACCATCTATTAATGCAGTTAATGTTAACTTACCTCAAAGATGATAAATGCTCAATAACAGTAATAATGGGATGGAGGGATTGTGAACCCCCATTAACACGCCCTTGTTTCAAGCTATCATCCCACAAAATTTGGTTGTAATTGGACCAGCGACCTAGGAGTAGTTAGATAACGGACAGATAAATAGACAGACACACACGTTCTTGTGCTTTATATATATATATAATACGATATAAAGAATAGAAGTATGAATTAAAGTGTATTTATGTGTACGAAAATACTTGGTTTAGATATGGGAAATATTCACTTATAATCAACATCTGAAGTGATTTACAGCAGAGGCAGTTACATAGAGTAATAGTCCAACATCACTGGGGATATATGTGTATGGAAAGTGTTCACGCCTTTGCTGCAAGGTTATGCATGGTCTGGTGGTTAAAGCGCTCGACTTATATTCTACAGCTCGCAGTTTCAAATCACGTCACCGAAGATTCTATGGTCTTTCAACTGTGAGAACTTTATAATGTGATGGTCAATCTCACTTTTCGTTGATAAAAGAGTAACCCAAGAGATGACGGTGAGTGGTGTTGATTAGCTGCCTTCTCTTTAGTCTTCGCTTCTAAATTAAGGACGGCTAGCGCAGGATGTCCTCGAGTATCTTCGCGCAAAATTCAACAAAGTACAACAAAACCTTTGATGCACAGTTTGAATCTAGCCCTTTGACTCTGATTGAGACTGGTTAGTTCTCTATTTGTATCTTCTAGGGTTCTAATGTAACTTTATGAGTATAAGTGCATTTCATGTTTAAATGCCAACCAGCTTGTGTCCAAGAAATCCTCTGTTTTTGGTATTTTCGCTGTCAGTCCTCAGGTGAGACAGCGGTAAGTTTACGGACCTACAACGCTAAAATCTGGGGTTCGATTCTCCGCGATGGACACAGCAGTAGTCCAATGTGGCTTTGTTCTAAAACAAACAAACTTTTCGCTGCTATGCCAGACGATCAGTAATTAGCATAATATTGTCACATTTTGTATAGTGAATAAGTACTATTGCATATTTCAGATCAAAATGCAGCGTGTTTTTGTTATTACTTGTTCAACATCAATAAAAAGTACTTTGTCTATTTCATTTTGCCAAGCTCACACACCTTCATCTTCCACGCCCACTATCTTATATTTTAGTCTAACTATTGTGATGTCTAGCTGCCTGTGAGACACAGTTCTTATCAGTTTACCACAAATATACTTGTCTTTAGCTTCTTTCTATAAAATATTTATTCTAATTTCTACCACTTACTAGTAGTGTTCCTAATTCAAGATCTAAAAAGTGCCTATTAGTAGTAACTAGAGAAATAACCCTTTAGTTCACTTAAATGGGCACTTCCTTGGCGGATAAAGGAAAATGTCATCTTATGTTAACTTAGCGTCGATATTTCTCCAAACATTTCCAAAGGACGTAAACATGGAAAATGCATGTTTCTTGTTGCACGTAGGTAAACTTAACTACTTATGGAATTTTATATTAAAATATAATATAATGTTTACGAAAAAGTTGTCTCTACCTGTCCAGTAACAGATAAATCTATCTAGATAAGCAAGTAAAACCTAACAAAAATAATGTGCAAAAAAAAAAAGTCATTTAGAAGATATATTGATAGATCGAACATTAAAATAATAGTTTGTTTTAGAAATGGAACTACCGAGTATAGGTTTTAGAACTGAGTGACGTTGCTGGAGGCGCATCTGAATTGCTGTTTATTGCTTAGAGAGATGAATGTTTACTCAGAGAAATGGAAACTAAACGTTTTACGTAAGGTGATGACTCAGTTGGAAAATGGCTACAAATGTCTAACATAGAAAATCTAGCATTAATCTTCCATGGTTTTGATGCTTATATTTGTTTTTGGACTTGAAGGTTTCAAGGGTCAAAAGCTTTTGGAAGCGATGTATTTATTCATAACCGGGACGTGTTATATGGAGCTTTTAGAGGCTTTTATATTCTTAGTTAATAGGGTACGATCCTATAATCATCTTAGGTCATATTTTTGATGGGATATTCGCTATAGTTACTTTATATTTTTCGTCAAAGGTATTCTAGTTCACAAATAAAAAAGCGTTACAACAGCTCTAGGAATTCAAATCCACTTTATTTTTTTCACACTGTGTTAGGTCCAGAGATATCTTAAGTAAAAATAAAGCATGGTACACTTGTATCAAACCATCTATTAGACTATATATCGTTGAAAATAGGCGTAGAATGGAATATATATATTTTGATAAAATATTATTTCTTCTTGTGTTTGAACACGGCATCCTCTCTCGAGTAAAGTTAGGGAAAACAACAAACCTATTATTCTTCTATACGCACAAGTCGATATGAATATACTTAAACTATAGCATAATTTCTACATTTTTCATATTTTCCAACATTTTAGCATCTTTTAAGAGTATTCTAACATCAAGACTTCTTGAACCTAAGTGTTTGTCTAGCATCATGGGTATTCTGATATTATATAGATAAGTGCTAAAGTGTTCACGTTTTTGCTCTTCTTTTGCTACACAAAGATCTAGCTGGTTTCTGGCCAACGCAGTGAATCGAACCCCTAATTTTAGCGTTGTGCATTGTCCTTTTCTTTGTGAAAAAAAAATATATAAGAGCGTTTGATAAATAAGTATGAATAGCGCATATTTGAACTTAACATGAAAGTATTGATTAGTCTGAACGAATTAGGTAAGGCATAGTCGAAATTGTTAATCATATGCTTAGTGGGGAAAAAAACTAAGAGAAAACCTTCTCGGTATAACTTTTACGATAGATGACAAAATATACAAAACTTTCAGAGGTTTGTGTGTTTTTGTCACTGGAAAGATAAAAATGTTTAGTTTGACAAACCGTATAAATTGAAAATGGCTTTATGGTGTCAGAGATCACGCTATCATGATGTAGTTATTTTGTAAAGATATATCCCTATGTATCATTTCAAGTAATTCACACATCTTGCTTGATATTAGATTACTAATCAGAAACTAATAAATTTTTATTTTTTCTGAAGGACGCCCCTTGTTCTTATACAAAAGTATGCATGCAGTTCATGATAGAGTCAACGTTTTAGTAACGAAACTCGAAAAACGGTTTATTTACCTGTCTTACTGAGTTCTTCGTCTGTTAAAAAAAACACAGATTGGTAAATTTGTTACAGAGAGGCATTCTCTATGTTTATTATATGATTAGGTAAAATAACTAAAATGTGATTTATTAAAAATGTAAAATAAAGACTAAATAGTAATATAAATAATTATTGAAACGTACGAACGATACACATACAGAAGTCACAAACATTAACAGGTATTTTCGATTGATTTCATTGTAATTTCCCAGAGAGAATGATTATTTTTGCATAGTATTAACAGAAATTTTTACTGTTTTACTTTAACCCTAAAGAAATAATGTCTATTTTTATGTAATTCTAAGAAGTAATTTTCACTGTTTTTACTGTAGCCCAGAAGACTTGTTTGTTTATTTCAGAATTTCGCATAAAGAGCTATATGTGCATAGCTGTCCCTAATTTTGAAATAATAGATTAGAAGAAAGGCAATTAGTCAATAGCACTCACCGCCAACTCTTGGACTATTGTTGTTTGACCATTACTTTCATAGCGCATTAACATCCCCAAGACGCAGAGCGCGTCTTTTTAAAAGGAAGACAGAATGGATAATTACAGAAATAGCTCGAACTGTCGCGTTTAATTAACTTTTATCTACGTATCTGCGTTCTGGGCGTTTTTTCAAGTGTCATAATTATTACCACAAATGGCAAAGCGAAAACAACTAGTTGACATTTAAAGTAATAATTTAACCATCGGACTTGAGTTACTTTACAAAAATAAATTTAGAGTTTAATTCAAAATCAAAATGGTCTTTATTCTACTATAAGTGGAATAATTTTTCTACAAGGACAAAACCTAGTTCTGAATACTGGCTAGCGACGATTAGTTACTTCATTTTCAAGGGTGTTTGAGAGGAATGGACACAAAAACAAAACAGTTACGCATTTTGAAACTATTGTTAACCAAAATATGCACTCATTGGAAAAGTTTTTTCAAGGAGTGGCGTAGGAAGTAGCAATTTGGTCCGTCAAAGCCTTGGGGTATGGTATAAAAATAAATAAGCCCATCATGAATGAGATTCCAAAAGTCCTTTAGCTGTGAAGCTTCCATTTTACTTTGTTTAAATGTAGACGAGACTGTAGGCCCGTTATCATGCTGGAATCAATATGTATCTTTTTGAAGGTAGCTTTAAGCAATGTGGTCGATATTTGAAGAAAGGATTTTGGTTATGTTGGTTGGTGACAGCGTTTTGGACTTCATGATAAGTCTTTCTTCATATCTTTAGAGTTGTTTAATCATTAAAGGTTTTATAGTGCTGTGGAATACAATTCTGGTTGAGAGCTCATTGGTTTTTTCTTTTTCATGGTACTGTAAACCTTTTTCACTCAGGACTATGAAAAACCAACAAGACCAAGAAGCTTTCAATCGTGACTGAGCTCTACAACATTGTAAAAACCAATAACAAGAAAACAATTCTCTAGAAGACACTTTTTTTGGAAAAGTGCTTTGAACATAGTTCCCTCAACCTTCTCCGGCTCTTGTTTACTATTGCCACAAGATCAACATCCATGATTGTATATCTAATCAAAATGATCTACTTTCAACATTAATCCCTTTCATATCCGGAGCGAAAATGTGAGTGGAGAAAAATTTTCTGATCTCTGATCGCCGTGAGTCCTACTCAAATTCCTACTATAATGTCTTCTTTGCCGTGAACTCTCCAAACCTGAAGAAGGACTCATCATGGAACCCGAAACATTGTCACAAACTACCGCAAGATAGAAGCTATGCATAGAACCTCTTCCCAAAATCAATATGTGTTATACGGTTCTTTTTTAACTTAAAGATTAAAAATTCCGCTCTTAGTTAAGTTCTAAAAGAGAAAGCACTGTCACTCATTATCTCATTATATTATATAATAATTAGTTTAATATTTATTTAATTAAAGGAAATACCCTGTTATTTAAAACTTGAAACTTGTTTTAAAGTTTACTTTTAGGTTTGATATTTACTGGAACTACAGATGTTAGCTGTATAATAATTTTCCACATTATTGTTTGAGACGTTATCGGAAATGTTTGTTTCACCTTTCCAAAAGTTATGTAGCATTTGGACAAAATGCCTGAAGGCTTTACTACGGTATAAGTAATTTTTATGTCAAGATATTTTGTGATAATCTTAGAAAAAACACTCTAAAGCTTACTTAAAAAAAAATATTGCAAGATTTTTATCAACATTCTACAGTTTTCGATATGCTGTTTTGAATCGATTTCATCTACTTTGAAATCTAATGTAAATGCAGCAAAGGTAAGTAGTTAGCACACCTGATCACCTACAAAAGTTGTAATATTTTCAAAACGAGACCCAAAACTCGATCCCTTTCGGATAGTTGACCATTCTTCTTCAGGAAAATAAAGGAGAATAAAGAAGAAGAATAGTCAACTATTCGAAAGCGTTCGAAGTTTGGGTCTCGTTTTGAAAATAATGCAGCAAAGAGTTAATGCTAATTGTTTCCGTTGGTGTCGGCTTTCCTCGTTGGCTCTTCTTATTTTACACTGCAAGCGTGATTAATAATTTTGTAGTTTCAAGTTCAGTTTGTAAAACGGAAGCGTGTATCATCCTGAACTTTCTCTGATCATGGGCACATGTAGGTGGAGCTTTTTGTGTTTTGAACGGGTTACTTAGGAAAGGTGATTGGATAGCATTAAATAACTCAGCTACTTGGAGTTTTCTCCTTCTTGTTGCAAGAAAAGCTAACTATTTTCAATCTTTCTAACCTTATAAATCTATCTGAGGTACCAAGTAAATAGCGAACATTAAAATATGCTAATATCTAGCTATATTCTGTGAACGTTATGAAATTACTCTTGACCATTACATCTTTAAAATAATTTTATTGTACTAGGAGAAATGAAGCCAAATATGACAACCTTGGTAATTTACAATCAAGAAGAACTATTTATTGGTTAAGTGTAATTTGGAAGAATACAATAACTATATTTTTTAATATTTCAGGATTCTTCAAGATGTTATTGTTGTTGTGTTAGCGAAAAGCTACACAATGGATTATTTGTACTTGCTCCACCACGAGGAATCGAATCCATAACTTCAGCGTTGTAAATCTGTTAAGCTTACCATTGACCCACGGAATGGAGAGAGACACTTATTCAAGAATCAGCTGTAGAAGTAAAATAAATCAAGGAAGGAGAGGATGTTTTTAAATCTTGTAGTTTTATCATATTGTTGAATCTTACGTCAACTATTAAAAATAACTTTTACATATCACACGGAAAACGCTGCTACAAATAAAGTGTTTCCTTTAAAAATAACTATTACATATCGCATGGAAAACACTGTTACAGATAAAGTGTTTCCTTTAAAAATAACTATTACATATCACATGGAAAACGCTGCTACAAATAAAGTGTTTCCTTTAAAAATAACTATTACATATC